CCCCTGCCCCCCCCCGAAAACGGCAAAACCTGCTCCGTGCTCCCCCCCCGCCCCCCCCCCATGAAAATGAAAATATTCACAAAATATGACAATGGTCGAGAACTAGAGGTCATTTGCTATTCTTCGAAGGTTCCCCCCCAACCCCCCCCCCTGTCATCCCAACTCTTTTTCATTTAACCCCCCCATCCCCCCCCCAAAACTGTTACATTGATTGAAAGAGTCCCCCCCCAACCCCCCCCCCAGTTCTAACCAGACAACAGCCTGGTACCCCCCCTTCCCCCCCCCCTCGGCAGCTCATAATTTACAACAATACCCCCCCGTCCCCCCCCCTGCACAACTGTCTGATTATTCCCTTTGCCCCCCCTCCCCCCCCCCCAATCTTCCAGCAGTAGAGAAGCGGGTCCCCCCCCGCCCCCCCCCAAATCAAAGTGTGTGTAGCCATCTTTGCCCCCCCACCCCCCCCCCCTTTCGTCCCAGCTAATATTCCATAAGGAACATAACATACAACTAAAGCTAACTGCACCCACAAAATGYTAGCCCCCCCTTCCCCCCCCCTTGCTATGTTCAGTGGATTCTCTATTTCCCCCCCATCCCCCCCCCGGAAGTTGCTTGTTATTTGGGTTTGGTGCTGTTGTAACTTAAGGTATATCTTGACGAAAGAGGAAATTGAAGCCCCCCCAACCCCCCCCCTGAAAATGGAGGATAGCTTTTGTCCAACCCCCCCTCCCCCCCCCCAAAGCGCTACAAAGAGTACACCAACGCCCCCCCCGGCCCCCCCCCCTCGGCATACTCGACTTAAGGTTACAACCCCCCCATCCCCCCCCCCCAGCAACAAGGCAAGAAGTCTGTCMACCCCCCCTGCCCCCCCCCTCAAAACGGATACTCCGCATAAAGCCTCCCCCCCACCCCCCCCCCCTTTCGAAATGTAATACAGACTATTCACCCCCCCAACCCCCCCCCGGAGCATAAAGTAGACGCAGAATAGAGGTTGTACGATAAAGCCGACGCAAAGATCAGTCACCGCCAAGCACTCCCCCCCAACCCCCCCCCGTGGATGAATAGAAGTCACTCGCCGGACCCCCCCGACCCCCCCCCCATTGCCAAGAAATGCGGTGAAGGCGACCCCCCCGTCCCCCCCCCARAGAAATTCTACCACACCTTCTGGAGCCCCCCCGGCCCCCCCCCTTAGCTTAATCACTTGGTCTCTAGTTTCAGAACTGTCTGCCATTATGGTACTAACATGCCTCGGTGCGCCTGCCCCCCCATCCCCCCCCCCGTCCAAAGAAGGTCGCTTGTTTATCTCCCCCCCCACCCCCCCCCGACATTTACATGTTTATTGGAAATTGACCCCCCCACCCCCCCCCCCAGATCAACACAGTTTTTATGATTAATCCCCCCCGTCCCCCCCCCCTGCCTCTTCAATTTGTACATAAGCAATCAAATCAATGTCCAATAAGATAAAATTCGGCCTTAATCAATTTTCCCCCCCAGCCCCCCCCCTTTATCGAACAGATACAAGATACCCTTCCCCCCCTGCCCCCCCCCGATTTAATGGAAATGGTTATTACACAACTAGATCGAGAAATGATATCCTCAAATCCCATCTGAAAAAAAGRACCCCCCCAACCCCCCCCCTACTTTGCATAAAAAATCTGCTTAAAACCCCCCCACCCCCCCCCCTTTATGTAACAGTTGGATGCAGTATTTCCCCCCCGTCCCCCCCCCAAACTTCGTTTTACATCAACGTTAGTCCCCCCCCCTCCCCCCCCCTTTCTGCAGTACTGAAATTGACGAGGTCCCCCCCCGCCCCCCCCCGGAGTTTAACGATCAACAGAAATGTCAAACTTAAGGCTTAAATGCATGGAAAATTTTCACCGTCTTAAAGAGCCCCCCCCGCCCCCCCCCATTTTCACAATTCCATGACGAAATTTCCCCCCCCACCCCCCCCCCCATTTTCTTTTGAGTTTTCCCTTTAAACCCCCCCGTCCCCCCCCCACTAATTTATTCAAACGATAACCTTCCCCCCCCCAACCCCCCCCCATATTTTTCCACTCTTTAATGGAACGGCCCCCCCAGCCCCCCCCCTTATGGTTAAAAGCCAAAACCAAAGGGTTTATCCCCCCAGAAATCAGTGTTTCTCCATCCAAAATCTCTTACCCCCCCCAACCCCCCCCCTTCTTCTCCAGTTGCGCAAAAACCAGCCCCCCCCTCCCCCCCCCCCTGTTTCTGTTTTTTCTTTGTATTTGTCCCCCCCTTCCCCCCCCCGTGGCTAGTTTTCGCTTAGGTTATAGTCCCCCCCCACCCCCCCCCTTATTCTCGAAAGTAACAGGCATAGATCCCCCCCTTCCCCCCCCCAATATTGATAATCAGAATGGAGCAAAGCCCCCCCTACCCCCCCCCAGAAACTGTGGTGCTGCATAAGAGTGGCCCCCCCATCCCCCCCCCATTAACCGAGCGGGAGGTCTGTATGAGCCCCCCCTGCCCCCCCCCCCCAGTACAGACCGAACGCAGTGAGGTCCCCCCCAGCCCCCCCCCTCAAGATTCTCCCAGNAGGAAATGGGGGAAAAGTTTCCTAAGAGACTGTGGTGCTTTATCAGTGGGGGCCACCGTAAGGAGCTTCAACAATGGAATGGAGGAAAGCCTTTGATCATTCGCCAATGTTATACCCAACTTTCCCACCGCACGCTGCACTTTAGCTTCCGCCGAAATCTGCTGAGAGGTACTATTTCCGGTTCCTTTTCATCCGTTTCCGACCCTTTGATATCTGCAGTTGTTACGCATTGCTTTTACTATTTCTTTGCCGTATGTTTTAGTTCATAAACCTTCAGGAGTTTTATAGGTGTTGCCATAGCGGTAAAGTAACCAGCCTTTTCAGAGCAATTCGAAATGAAGTCTATGAAGTCTGCGCACAAGCTGCGTTAATTGTGTGGATAACCGTATTTTCGAGCATAAAATCGTCACGCAACACTTCCTCATGGTATACTTAAGCAATGTACCTCATTCTCACCGTATACCGGCGTAATAACCTGTGCGTGACGTTGGGAGCACACGAGAAAAATTTGTGAATCACGAGCCGGTGGCAAATTTTGAAAATATACAGTCCGATTACGCTTTGCGAAACATTTTCCGTGTCTGGCAAACTAGTTTGCAGATTTCCAACCTTATTTCAATTCCACATTCTGCACCACGGAACTGTGCACCTATATTTTCACGCAACCGTTTTCCGACCACTTCTCCTTTCGAGGTCCTCTAACCCACTGATTGATCCGTTTCCCTTTCCGCCCTAGTCTTTCTGGCCTGCATGGCAGGAAATGGAGAGGACAAGGAAAAGGACTTGCTGTTGTTACCTGTTCTTCGTTTTAAGCCCATTGCGTTCATTAAACAGTAATGCAGTACCAGTGAGCTGAGGGGACCCCCATTTTTGTACTCCTGCAGGCTTTTCTTCCTTCTGCCAAAATAAGGGGGAAGTGGGGCCTGGGCCCCCCCGGGCCCCTCTCCAAGATCCACCATTGAGTACAACTTCGTATTAGGTTCCAGCAAGAAACTAGTGCACAACACAGGGGGTAACACCGGGACACATCTGGTTTAGATCTGTTGATCACAGTTGGAAATGTAAAAAAAGGGAAATGCTGGATAATACTCAAGTTATACCCAGACAACAGATCACCACAGATTTTCATTACTATTTGGCTTTACAGCCTAAATTAAAAAGTTTTACAGGTACCTTTACAAGTGAAGTGTGGATAAATTTCCTTCTCCCCTGGGAACATTATATTGATTTTTAAATATAGAAACTCATGTTAGAAATACTGTTAATAAGGGGTTGGTTTACAGGTACCTTTATGAACTGACTAAGGGGTGGGGGGTGGGGGTTGGTTTACAGGTACCTTTATGAATCAACTGTGGATACATTCTCCCCTCCCTCAGAAACATTGGCATTGATTTAGCCTGATTTGACCTCTCAGAGTGACTGGCATCTCAGTCCTCCCAACATCATAACCTCTGAGTCACACTGTAAAGTCATGAGAATAAAGGATATGATCACTAACTTCTAAGGCTCTTGATTGGTAAACAAATTCTCCTTGTCTGCAGCTTAGGAAATGTATAGAGAAAAGTATGGAGAACATGCATAATGATGTTAGGGTGTATAGGGTCAACATGGAAACTTATTTCAGCAATGCTGCCTCAATGAAGAGGGGTGACATGGAGAGTATGGGTTTTTTCCTACCCTTAGTGAAATGAACCTTTCTCCCACACAAGTATAGCTTTGCATCAGGTTCACACAGCAATCCAAATGAAACTATGCCCAGCTATGAATGCAAAGCCTGGCCTCTTCTAAGGTTGACATATCACAGAGGAGTAAATCCTTGCAGTTTACACAAATGCATGCCATTTGCAAAGCAGGTATTGCAAAATTGTTACATTGGAAAAAATAAAGACTTTCAATCCATTAAGCAGTGAAAAGTAGCAATCAGATATATTAAGGTTCAGCGCATTAGAGCCTTCTTTATTCATAATCAAAATACCAAGGATAGCAAGTTGTATGAGCAATACCATATATCATTAGAAGCTTGCTAGTAAAGTGGAGGGGAACAGGAGCAGGGCCCAAAATGTGGGGTAAGAAAACAGGATATCACCTCAAAAACAGAAAAAAAAAAAGAAAAGGCACGATATAACACCAGAGATATGTATACAGGAAGAAATAGTTTCAATGCAAAAATTGGCAAAACATTTTATAAAAAAAAGTGGGAGCCTGGAATGGCAAAGGTGAAAAGAAAGAAGTTCACCTCCACAGCAAATATTACTGTATCCAACAAGTAAACTGGTTAACAAATGGAACTAGTACATCTTAAGTCGCCTAACCCAACTACAAGAAATCCAGAATGATGTGTATATATCTAGATTTTAAGCATCTATACTAATAATATTTTGAAGAAGGAAAAATGGCACAGAAAACTGTTGACTGATCTTTTCATTCCAGGCCAAGCAGCTCCACATCAAATATCAAGACAGCATTTGGAGGGATAGTGTAAATGATTAAGGAAAAGACTCAGAGAGATACTATGATAATAATTAAATATCTAACTTGTTGCAGATAAAGAGAGGGCCAGAGTTGACCCCAAAAGATGTTAAAACAAACTTTTTTAAAGTTGATGAATGTTGGGTTTGAATTTTATAAATATTACCTTTAACACTTTGCATAACTAATTTCCTTATCTTCATAAAACAGGAAACAAAATGAGAGCAAATTCAATGACACTTGTCTATTTGGAGGTTCCTATAGTTTTTAATACGATTGGCAAGCTCCACACGTTGATTAAAAATGCTGAGCAAAAGCAGTAGAGCCTGCCAAACTCAAGAGGGAGACCCAGTAGGGTGCCTCCTGCTCTTAGTTTGGTGTCCCCACCGTCAAAAATCTCCTGCTACTGCTCTCTTTTAACCTTTTCACCCTTAAGGGTGACTGGCATCTAATTTCTCCTCACAATATCACCCCAGAATTACACATTAAGGTCAGGAGAATAAAGAAAATGATCACCAACTAAAAAAGCTCTGGATTGATAAACAAATTCTCCTTGTCAGAACCTTAGGAAATGTATAGAGAACAGTATAAAGAATATGCATACTGATGTTAGGGTGTAAAGGGATAAGAGGTAGCATCGAAAAAGTAAGAAAGGATATACACCAGACACCCCCCTTGCTCCATATCCATAGTCCGGAGAGCAAGTGAGCTTTGCTCGTTGACCAACTTTCATCTGCAACAAAGGAAACGAACTCGTGTGGGATGTATGTCTTGGTAGGTTCAAACTAACGCATCTAGGAGTTTGTGCAATCCATAGTCAAAACAGCTAGTATTATATAAGCCATACCATTTGTAAGAGTTCAATTCTGACCATTTTTTCTCTGAATATTGACAGAAGTAAAGTAATGTTTTGGTTTCTGTGTGGTATATACTTAAACAATTATTCAGCTCAGGGCAGATGAAAATGGTGGATATGATCCTAGCCACTTTGTAGCTTGGTAAATATCCACCACTGTTCACCTCCACTTCAGTAAATAATTACTGGATAATATAATTAATTACTAGTGTGTATACTTACAGAACAAGGTAATTTAAGAAAAATAACAAAAGAAATCCCAGATTACTTTTATACCCTCTGTCAAAAGGTGCTCTATCCAAGAGCAATCTAAATGTGAATAAAAAAAATTATAAACTATTCATAATTGTGTAAAAAATCATAATTATTACCTGAGCTACTCCTTCATCCCAACCTAAAAGATGTTAAGAATCATGCATATTAAAAAATAAAATGCAGAAAAGAAAAAAAAAAAAAACTCGTAACTGGTAGATGCTATTGGAAAGTGGTTATGACCTCGGGCAACCATTGTGTCTTAGCGCGCGGCCTCACTTTCGATAGAATTTTTTAGTTCAAGTGGACAAGGGCTTCATTCAACAAGCTGCAGGGAAAATCTAGCACGCAAACAAAAATGTACAAAAAACAACTAAATGTAAACACACATTATTAATTGTAGACTGGTATGTAACTAGATTACACTCGAAGGCTCATCATTTCTTACTTAATTGACCAAATGATTATTCGATGAATTATTCACCACCCATGAACCCAGTCAAATTATCGTATTCGTGCAAAATCTTGTGGTGAAGGAGGAAAAAAGGCTTAATTTTTCGAAAACGCAAACAAAACTCTTGCGAGTATCGCCAGTACATTGACCGTAACAAAAGACGGGAGACCAATTACAAGATGTGGCCGGCGGTCACGATCCAAGATCGAGTCAAGCAAATAGTTTTTGGATGAAGAATTACCTTTAATCACTTGGCCTGCTCCAAGCTTAAACTTGAAAGGTCTGCCTTTGTCTCGTGAAGAATCAAACTTTTTGCCGTTTGTTAGCGTTCCTGAAGAGAAAAAACGTGCCAGACTCAAGTTTATTGTCTTGGAATTCTTCGATTCAGAAACATCAATATTCAAACATCGACAAACCTACCGGTGTAATGTACCACCACAGTTTGGCCAGCCTTTGGAATGTCTGAAAGAGGAATAAAATAATTAAGCTCCCTACAAAAGGCAGGTATGCATTCAAGCAGGGCGAGATACCTCCATGTCCTTCTTGAATAGTCTCAACTGTTACTCCCATAACGCTAAATGATGTTCAGCTCCAACTCCTCTTCGATTTGTTACCACGTGACAGCTATTGCACTCAGGAAGGAGTCACCGGCCGATGACAAACGATGGTGATCTAGTTAGCTCACCTACCTCCCCTCCCTAGTTGATTTTTCACTGTGTTGTCTGCGTTCAATCAAGCGTGCTATTTTTAAAAATATATATCTAATTTTATCTTTTCAACTCTTCGTGATTACATTTTTGTCACCACTTTGACTTATTTCATCATATTTACGACAAACTACCTTTTGTTGTTGAAAAAGTTTTACTAACACCTCCCCTAGACAAAAGATTGGTTTCTTCGTTTGTTTTGTTTTAGTCAAGACGTTCCTTCCAGCTCCAACAAACGAAACAGCTTTCAAATCGAATAAGTTTTGTTGTATACTTTTAACAAGGTTGTTTATTAGAAGGCTTATCGTCTCTTAACGTTACAAACACCACATGATTGGTCAGCATTATCGGAAAGAAATCATTTAAAGTCACCGATAAAGCCATTTTAGGCTGCCGTTAAGGTAACATCGACATTTTTTTTTGTCTTCATCGTAAATTCATATAGTTGGCAAGATAACGAAGGTAAGTTTGTTCCTCGGTGACTAGAGGTATTTCTACAAATTTCATTTTCACTGTGTATTATTTTACTGTTTTCAGAAGTGTACGTCTCGGCCAGATTTGTCTAACAAAGATTGAAGAGAAGTGTTCCATAATTCGTCAGTTGCATATCCATTCACTAACCTGACGTATCAGTCTACGAACTTGCTTAGTATTTTAAAAATTCATGCGCGCCTGTGTTTATAATTGACTTTTGCCTTGGTTTTAATTTTATATTAGGAATTCTTATCATTCAATTTGGATCTTGAATTTGTGGATTGAAACAATATAACACGCTTCTTGAATACGTCAAAAGAACCATACAGGTAATATGGCGCGTGATCAAATGTTTTGACATGCATTCAGACCACATGTTATGATCGTTGGTTGTCACGGCCAAAGAAACAGTCGGTTAGAAATTATATTTTCAGATTTACCCGCCTTTTCATCGCCATTTAGGCAGTTAGACAGCCGCACAGATCCTAAAACTTGTTATTTACTTGAGCAGCCATGTTACCTCTTGTTCTTGCACCTTGGCTTATACAGTAATTCTTTGAACCCTTTACACCTCAATAACAGTATGCAAATTGTCCATACTGTTCTTAATACTTTTTCACTGGGACTTACAAGGAGAATTTGGGTAACAATCAAGAGCTACTTGAGTAGGAATCATTTCCTTTATTCTCATATCCTTCAATGTTTGATTCAGAGGTGATGTGTTTGGAGAAATATGATTCTTATCACTTGTACGGTAGGGATTCAAGGGTTACTCAACTTCCCAGACCATGCTTTATTGTCAAATTACAGTTCACTATCAATTTGCACAGTATGCTATCACTAGTTTGTTGTTTGACTGATTTTTGTTTTTCAGGAATATCACCAGTTACAAGATCATTGAATGAACTGCTAGATTGCTTGTTTGAGGAGCTGGCCTCACATAAACCTCATATAAATTATGGGTGGTGCTGTTAGTTCAGGACAAGACAATGATGAGTTGATTGATAACTTAAAAGAAGCAAACTACATCAAATCACCAGAGGTTGAACACGTCCTTCGTGTAATAGACAGAGCGAACTATTTTCCAGAAGGAACAAAACAACATGCGTACAAAGATTTGGCGTGGAAGAGTGGTAATGTGCATTTGTCAGCTCCTTGTATTTACTCTCAAGTTTTAGAATCTCTTGAATTAAAAGAAGGATTATCATTTTTGAACCTTGGAAGTGGAACAGGTTATCTATCAACCATGATTGGATTGATTATTGGTGCAAATGGAGTTAATCATGGAGTTGAATTATATGGTGACGTTGTTGAGTTTGCAGAAACAAAACTCAAAGAATTTTTGCGGACTAATCCAGTATACCAAGGAACCAACTTTTGTGAACCAGTGTTTATTGTTGGCAATTGTTTGTGTTTAAATGCACACTATAGACAGTATGACCGTGTATATTGTGGAGCTGCCTGCCCTTCTGAATATGTGGAGTACATGAAGTCATTAGTGAAAATTGGAGGAATTTTGGTCATGCCCTTTAATGAGAAGGTGAGAAAAACACCATATTGTCATTTAATTTGTACAGGAATATTCCTTTTGACCCTAGAAATTTCAACCCACTCACCCATTTTGGACAGAAACTTCCTGTTTTCATCGATTTTATCCAGCTTCCTGTTTTTATTCAATATTCTTCCTGCTTTTGTACCTAAAGTCCTCTAGAAGGGAGGTAAAGGTTTCTCACATGTGCCTAATTATCTAATTCTTGTACCACAGCCTACAGGTGCTGTTTAATTCTGTAGTTTATTGCCAGGTGCTAAGATGGTCAGAGGCACAGTAAGAATTATTTCTTGTCCTTTCTTCAGCAAATTGAGATTTTTATAGTTAATCATTTACCACAAGTTGTACTTTTTAGTAATGCTGCAATTTTACTTTGGTCATGAATGCAGCTGTTTAGAATGCGTCGAACTGGTGACACTGAATGGGACATTGAAGGACTACTACCAGTGTCTTTTGCCCCACTCATAAACTGCAAGGATGACAAGAAGGACTTTCCTCAGTTTATTGAAATACGTAAGTGTTCCTGAAATCCAAACTTATGATCATCTACAGTGTCACTGTTTGATTTTATAATGGCCATAACCCTATACACCCTAACTCTAGCTTTTATATTCTCCACACTGTCATGTTTACATTTCCTATCATACTGACATTAGGATAGTTGGTTGATAATCAGGAGCTCCTGAAATTGGTGATCATTTCCTCTTTTCTCTCAACTGTTATATTTGATTTAACCCTTTTACTCCATTTGTGACCAACACAGAATTTCTCCTTATATCTTCAATACAATATCAAGCATACAAGTGACGAGAAAAAAGAAAAATATCAATTAGGGGATTATTAGTTGATCCAATACTAAATTCTCTGAATCAACATCATAAGAATTGTATGGCAGACTGTAAGGAGAATTACAAATGAGATCTTGGTAGTGAAAGGGTTAAGGGTGATCCTGTAGGGAGAGATTAGAAGTTAGTCACTCTTAGAAGTTTAAGTGTTAACTTATTCTAATCTGATACCTGGGTTTCCTCCAGTATCCATTATTGTAACAGAGAGCAAACTGTAAGGAGTGAAACTTTGTGCAACACAGGCGCAGTTGAATAGGCGCAGTTAAATATTTTTATAGAAACTGCGCGGTATAAATTTAAATTTAATAACAAAATTTAATAAAGTCTAGACTTGTGTTATGTGAAGTTCAACAACAGACCTTTGGGATGGGGGTGGGATATGCACCCACCCCACCATGGCTCTTTTGTAATTATGACAACAGTGCTAGACAACAGTGATAAAATGGACAAAAACACTGAAAACCAAAGGGCCACTAAGTGGTTCCCTCATCATCATCATAAGGTCTGGATTGGCACTGTAGTTTAAACAAATTACTAACTTTTGGAACTTGATTTTCAGCAACACATCCAAGGTACCTTCAAGACCTCTGCAGACTTGTGATAAGAAGAACTCTTGGTCCAGATGGGGTGAAACAACTCTGCGACTTACCTCTTCCTCCTGCACTTGTTATGTATCTGAACTACTTCCATGAATTGAGGCAAGAATAACCAAAACAAGTTGACTGATGTAAATCCATTCTAAGCTTTAATTGGGGGAGGTGAGAATGGAAGCATCATCTGTGAGGGCTCCACAGGCAAAAGCCTGTCTCCCTTCATCTCTAATCCTGACTGAGGTAACTCTCTGTGGGTATGTGAGAGTTCTCAAGAAAAAGGCTTTTGCATGATGGCCATCTAGCAGACTGGGACAGACTAGTGATAAACGACAAAAAGTTAGTCTGATATATTACTTAGTTGGGTTACAGGGAAAGATGGAAGAGGGTGCTTTTTGGGGCGCTGCAGAAGTGGGGTTATTTAAGGACTCTTCAGACTCTTATTCTGGGCCCAGGAAATAGAAATCAACCAATTTTCAAGGAAACTGATCCAAGGTTTTTGAAGAATCTTCAACTTAAAGCAACTAGAAAAGCATTCCTTTTTCTGAACTTCCCCAGTCTGTCTGCCAAATCTTCAAAAGTCAAATGTGCAAGGTTAATCATAGAGGACTGGATTAAATATGCACAGTAAACATACTAAAACATTTCCTGGGATGGTCCAAAAATGGTTCTAGAAACTCAATAGTTTTGGCAACCTGACAGTGTTCAAGGTTTAAGGAAAAGCATGATCATTTGCAAAGATTTCTCTCCGGTTAGAGTGGTAATTTATTGAAACCTTTCTTACTTGATTCATATTTCTAAATTATTTCATTCAGTGCTGTAATAGTGCAAGTAGTAGGTTAGGCATGAGAAATAATTATAACCATTGCTTGTAGTTTTATATTCACGAACGTGCTTGTCTCTACATTTTTCTGTTGAAACAATTTTGTAAATACATGCTGATAGTGTATTTATTTGAGTCAATGTCCGCTATTTTCTTTCTTCTCTGTATTACTTTACCCATGCAGTAGTGTAAATCTTTTTCTTTAGTTTCAAAATGTTGATATTGAGAAGTAAGGCCTCTATCACCAAATTGAATGGTGGTTGTGTTTTGGTGCTGTGTTCCATGTGATTAATTTTGAATTGAAAAGCATATGTAAGTGTTGCTGTTAGTCCTCATTATTTTGATATGCAGTGCTCTGCTATCCCTGCAACAAATTTTCTAGAAAGCACAGGGGTGCATCTCAAGGTTAATTAGGTGTGTGAAAAAAAGGTATTGCATGTGTAATGTAAAACCAGACTGAAGGAGTTTAAGACCTTAGGGCTTAAGATCTAAAAGAAAATGGACTTGATGTGCACCCAACTTCCAACTTTAATTTCCAACTCAAATTTGCTATTGAGTATTGCATTTATCAAGTGTGCATTTCTTCTGGTTTGGTTTCAGCTATTTAATCTCAATTGGGTGATGGTAATGTATTAAAATGTGAAAGCAACAATGACACGTCCATTTGATGTTGGTGTTCAGTAGCATTGGGTAACAATGTTTAGGTGCAAACAAGATTCCATGCTAACACAGTGCTCCTTTGTTTTTGAAACTTAAAGTCCAAATTTTCACTGAATCATCAGGGATAAGTGGAATATTTTCCTTTCCTTTTCACCCATGTATTGCACTTTAAAATGTGATTATACCTTTTATGCACACTGTTTTACCTCAATGTACTGCAAGATTAATCCACAAGGGCTTGCTTGACTTTTCGATTAATTCTTAGGCTCAAATAATGTAGCCACCTAATATTGATTGTTTTCAAATAAGTAGTTTAAATTTACGTGACCCAGTGGTCTGAATTCGTCTCACTCTGCTTTGAGTGGAGACTTCAACAATCCAAGACTTGTCGCTGCAGTAACACGACTGACACCGCCCATTTCAACTTCAGGACAATGGAGATATGCTCGGAACAAAATTGTGATAATGTTATCTTCAGCTGCCCAGTTACTTTATTATATTGAGCCTCCGGGTTGATTGTGCTTTTACTTCAGCGGGCGGGATTAAAAAACCATTTTGATGTCAATTGTATATTTCAGAGAGGATAACAAAAGTTCGTTTTATTTTGTGTCTTAATTGTTGTTACGGAAAAGATGTTTTGACTACGATCGTTTCACTTTCGGAATCTTGTGTTTCACCGCAACCTCCCATTTCTAGCCAAATTTCTCGCTTGCCTGCCACGTCGACCCTTCGTAAAGATACCAGGGTTCGTGAAACAGCTTATAAATTAGGAAAATCACACCGTGCAAACCCAATGCAGATTTTCAAGACAACTTTAATGCTAGTAACACAGACTCCCACTTCAGCTTGTTTAAGCTGCTAAGCTTGTGACAGAAACGGGAAGAAGGAACATTGCACGTGGTTTAATTTCATTAACTACATTGCCTTACGAGTTTCCCTAAACAAACCCTACATGAATTAATTATAATTTTGCCACGGAACACAGTTATCATGGTTGAAGGCCAGACAACTATTCGTGGCTCAGTTCACGGTCGAAGGTTCAAAATACTGGGAGTAATTAGAGCTGCATGAAACAGTTTATACCTTAACAGTAAACTGCGAAAGGAACTCGTAGGCCATTTCTCAAAGATTTACCGACATTGAGCGCACTACTCACAACATAATAATATTTTTGTCGTATTTAATAATAGCATGAATAAAAGTTTTGTCTTTGATAGGTACGCTTACACTACAACTTTCAAACTACTGCTGATCGAGTGTACAATAGATCGACGATTACAGAAATATTGAACGCAAAGTTCCTTCAGTTCCAAGTCATTCATTACGTACAGCCAGCGTTAGTTTAAAGCTAAAAAATTGTTTTATACCACACTTAGTAAAGGAAAACACAAAAGAAAAAATAAAATAGGAATAAGCAAACTTGAAACAAGGAGGAACCAAATCTTTTGTCCAATGGTCTTCAACCGATACGTCTGGGACGAAACCTCACTTAGGACCTGGCCATGGAGCTTCCAAACGGCGCCTTGACTCCCACTTCCTGAGCATTCTGAACGAGAGTGCACAGCGCACAGCAGCAGCTTAAAAGAAGATCGCTCATGAAAGTACCGTCGATTCCTTTCTGCTCACGGATTTTGCCACGGATTTGGGTGGCGAACCACAAGTTTGCAAGAGGAACGAAGGTCACCAACCCGCACATCAGGCAATCATCTCCCACTGCCTCGGCCGTCTTGCCGAAGGTGTAACAGGGAGCACAATTAGTCGTGAGGCACAGTGGAATATCGTTGAGGCAGCTACAGAGACCATTACTCCATTCTTTGGACATCTTGAGAGTGAAGTGCTCAGAAGAAACCTCGATCAATAAACAGCGCCTTCCAATACACTAATCTTGTTCGCTTGGGCAAGATGAATAGCTTTGTTATTTAAAACACACCCCTTTTGTAAGCAACAGAGCGTATAATTTGTCGACACGTGATTGGACAGTCGAAATCACGCTCGAAACCCCATGTCGTCACTTCAATTGACTGAACAAAGGAGCAAAGTTCTTTTCTTGTTCTGGAAACACAACTTTCCACTTAGTGATGCAAATTTCGATCTTAGTCCAGAGAGATGGAAACCATGATACATTGATATTAGACTTTCATTTGAATGTGTTTTTTTTTAAAATAATATTATTTTTTTTTGTAAGGGAAAACACATCCTTGTGCGAATATCTCGCTATGCTGATAGAAATTCTAAACCTTAGAGGTTTCTTGGCTTCGCTCAGATGTTAAATATTATATAAAAGCAATTGCGTTGTTCAAAGAAGACTATTAGAGTATTGCTAATTTTTTGTTTTTGTTTCGTACATGTTTGTGATTCTGAAATTATGCAAATCCTTGAAGAGTCCAAGCACCAGCTGAAGCAGACTAATAGTTACGTTCTTCGGCAGGGGGTAGGGATTGGAGGGGGGTTACTATATAAAAGGAAGTACCTCTCTGAGGGTAATGATAGATATGGAAGTGACGGAAATTCAAAAGGTCTGATTCAGGAAAAGGCGAGGAAAATGAGATTTAATGGTCTACTCTGATTGCAAGTTTTAAACAAGTAAATGGAGTTGAAACTGTGACGTTTTTACAAGATTCCAAGGGCAACGTTTAACTGTTGGAAAAACTCCCCTCCTGAAACAAAGCAAGCATCTGCCTTGAAAGCTAAGAGAAAGAAACAGCTTGTCATCTAAAGCTCATGTGAAGAAGAAACTCGACAAAATTTATTTTCTTTTGTTCGTTTACCATAACTGCAAACTTTGACTCAGAAGGGAAAAAGATTGCTTAAAGAACCAAAGGTCATTCCTTGGACATGTTGACTTTACACTTCGGTCCCGGTTTTTTCATTCAAACGTTCTCTTTTGAGTTAAGCCGGAGAGTCTATGAGCGATAAATTCAGAGCAGAAAATTTTGAAATTAACGTGTTCCCATGCTCCAAGATTTATGACATTAATATTTGATCAGGAGTTGCGAGCTGCAAGTTTTCAGGGAAAATGATTGGTTCTCGACAAAGAGAAATGACGTCAGCCGGTTCACATGTGAACTTGAATCAATAGAAGATGGATAATTAAAATCTCTACCGTGTCACCCGTAACAATGGGGAAAAATTACCGAAGCAAATTAATGCATAAAAAAGAGTCTATAAAATAGATCATGAAAGGTATTTAAAACAACTCGGGTTGTGTATTGATTTCTCGACAATTTCACCTTTAACAAAGCATTTCCCAAAATTCGACCCGAAGCGGCACTTTTAAAAGGGGATAATATTCGACTTCTTTTAAAAACGGGTCTCTCATCTTCCCGCCCCGCAAAACACTGTGCACAACGAACCACACTGTACACTTCGCTGCGACAAAGAGCTACCGCTCGAAAGGTCAGCTACAGAAACTCGTCTGTGCAAACTATCTTGTTAAGCTCCCACCGACGCAGCAACAGAGTTTTTTTAGAAACTTACCCCCTTTATTCAACGTACATGTTTAAATACAAGATAATCGTATTAAAAAGATGCAGATTCATAGCTCCGGGCTTTGCTAATTTTGATGTCAACGTGACAAAACAGAGTAATCACGAGGGGGTATCGTGGGTATCGGGGAGGGTGGAAGGGTGGAACACGACTTCCGGAAGAAGACTAGCTCCCCGCCTTTATACGTTCTAACTCTAGATCAGTTTTTTTTTCGTCAGTTAATAACTTAAGATCTTTTCCCGTACGATCTACCATACCATAGAAACACAGTAGGCTGCAGTCCTCTAAAGAAAATACAATTTTAGCTCTATAAAACTGATTCCAGTGACCCCCGGTTCATACGCTGAAGTTACCTGGCCAGGAATAGAAAAAGAGACAAAAAAAAAAAACCGTTGCATGTTTGCTATGACAAGTCTGATGCATGAACTGATGGATAAGTTTAGAGCACAAAGACACATGAGAAGGAACTCAGTGATTCTTCCGACGACGAAATTTGGTGGTGTAAGCAATAAATCCATAGTTGAACAACATACTTCGTGTCATTTCAACAGCTCTCTTACTTCTCTCCCCAAAATTTTGTCTCCATTACCCCTCGATGACCTTCATCTCGATTACACGCGAAGAACAGTTTCTACCCACGGCAAGCAATAACGAATAAAAGGTGATAGTTTCTAATTATAAAGAAACTGTTTGGGGCTGCGTCGGTGGGGGAACGAAATAATTTGAATATATCAACTAAGTTGAAATGGTAAATTGGCCACCGTTACGATTATAAAAGCTGACGTTTCGAGCGTTAGCCCTTCGTCGGAGCGTTAGCCCTTCGTCATTCGCTCCGACGAAGGGCTAACGCTCGAAACGTCAGCTTTTATAATCGTAACGGTGGCCAATTTACCATTTCAACTTTGTTGATATATTCAAATTAATAACGAATAAAATGCGAACATTTAGAACTGGATGCGAAAATCTTCGATTTCCTAAATGATCGTCATGTTGTGACGTCACGTGGTTATCGAATCTGATGACGATCCCCGAATGTCGAAGCGCGGCTTGCTATCAGCGTAAATTCAACTTTCTTAAAGGAAAGCATTTAATTTTGCTGGCATTATTGACATAGGCTAGGATAAGTAAAACCTGATAATCGTAAATGCGGTGGAGCAGGGGAGCAGGGAAAGGGAGGGGCAGGGGGTTTTAGCCCCTTTACAAGGACATTTGAGGGGTACGGCCGTTTCAGTGCAGAAAATATCATAAGTGCAACATAAAATTAGACTGGATTTCTGCCCTTTCCTCGAAGAGATCTTTGATCTTTCTGAGAAGGTCTCTTCGGGGAGGAGCGCGAGCTCATTTCCTGAACAGCGGCTGGTAATCGAGCTGACATAAAAATATTTAGTCACGTGATTTGTCTCGCAAACTTATCACTGAGGGTTTCAGCGGAGAAGCGATACGACATTACGTTGTGGACGGACACACTAGAAACTGGAAGGATTGGAGAGAGTTTCGCCGCTCATTCGAACGAATCGCATAACTTTTAACGTTTGTGAAATTGAGTCGAAAAAATGCGCTCCCTTAATATTTCCAAATGCCCCGTCGCTTCTAATCGTACGACAAAGGTATGTATTTGTATTTGTATTTACGATTATTTATACAGGGTAGCCCAGTTTAGCAGATAGCTAGTTTAAATGGGGCCCTGTGAACACTCACCCATCCCACCCCAGGGGAGGACATCCACCACACAGTAATCTCGTGCGTGGGAAATTAACGTCTCCTACCCCTAACCCTGCAGGAGACGGGGCCTACGGTTTATTCGTCCTTATCCGAGGAGACTAGAATATCTATCCATTTCTTGATGTTATAGAAAGGCAGCAAATTCTCCTCAGTTATTTTAAGACCATGAGTATTGGTCCGGCCAGGGCTCGAACCCTCGACCTCCCGCAAAACTGTTAGTAAAGTTGGCTTACTTTAGCTCGAGATCAGAGTTGTTTGAGACATTTTGGGAGTATTTGGAGTCAGTGTTTAAAGCGAACAGGGGTCTAGAATACAAGGAGATCATATATTATGGAATAAAGCCACATCTGTAGAGTAGCGTTTTAAAGGTGAAGTTCGTCACATCCTGACATATCGGATGAGCAGAGAAGCTGTTGATGAACAGATAAGTTATCAACATTCCCCATTTGTCAAGAAAAGGTGGTAAGAGCAATTTGCAGTGTTCGTTTATTTTGTACTAATTACTTCCTCGGGATGTTACGAATCGTCCAGTTATGACAATCATTTCTGGCGTTAAAACGTTTGGAGGTGGGGCTCGAGAATGTAAAAAAAACATTAGTTTGGAAAAAAATAACTTTTGACGTTGGGGATTCCATTTAAATAAATGGAGTGGTACTTTTGACAAATAATCAGTCATCAGTGGACATACGAAGAAAAGATTGCCACGTCATGCTGGTATTCTCTCGTATCAGGTGAACAATTCTGTCCTTATATTTCATGACATTCCTTTGAGAAGTCATTTGACCGACAGTCGGGCGCAATCTTGAACTAAACACAGTAAGAAACCGTCATCTGTTTTGGGTTTGACCTTTAACTATTCGCCGCAACGGATTGATAAGTGTTATTCTGTAATACTCTAAGGTGGATTGGACCAGCGAGAAGCCATCGTCTCAGAGAAAGTATGATTCCCTTGAAAAATATCCAAAAGAAAGGCAAGGCTGTTAAACATGAAAAGCCTGAAAAGCGATTGAAGAATAGGAGCAAGCTTCCTCATAAGAGGACAAGCACTGTGGCCCTCACAGAGACGCTTAACAAACGGGTCGATGTGAACAGGATACGGAACAGAAAGTCGTCCTGCCCGGAGATTCTTCTGTACAATACAGGTCTCAAGGGCAAAGAACTTCCCGAGCTTTTCAAGTTGATAAAGATTGGGGAAGCGGACTTACAGTCGCTAGCCACGAAAGGGATCTTTCCACTCCACGATGCTGTGTCCAAAGGGCTTACGGACTGTGCTAAGGTGCTTATCGAAAAAGCTACGACTCTAAACGTGCGGAATGCAGAGGGATACTCGCCCCTGGATATAGCCGTGGAAACGGGAAATTTTGAGTGCGCAGAGTTATTGATAAGGCATGGAGCTTCAGCTGAAGACATCAGGAATGGTTTTAAATTGAGGTCAAGGATCGTACGAAAGATCTCCAGTCCAAAATAGGCGCGTACCTTGTAAGATTGTATGTGTTAGTCAGGAATTAGATTTTATGCAAGTACATGTATACTGTCGAGTTCAGGAAAATTAAAATTCCGGCCTCTGACTCCCTCTGTTATGTAGCCGAGAAGGAATTTTATGACGGTGTAGCTTTCTTAATGAGCAATGATACGAAAATTGACTCTGTTAACTCTCTTGTAAACGTAATGTTTTTGCCTAATGAGACATCATCTATAAATGGATTCTGCAGCTAACCAAATGACTATGGCTATAAACATTCATTTTGCAAGCGAGAACCTGCCCACTTAGACAAGCATCGTTATTTAATCTTTAAAGCCTTCGTGATATTGAGCGATTAAAGTAAGTCAAAGCTCTTCAGGTCACAAAACCGCGCTCCTCATTAAATCACGGTGTATTGCATATTCTGCCAAACTTGGAATTCAGGCAGATTTGGAGATGTAGGTGGTTCTCAATATGAAATTTAACTGTTAATTAGAAAGAACACTACTTCAATGAACTTACTTTAAAATCTCAAGTGCCTGGTGGTCTTCCTTGATTGGGAAACATAGTTTACATTCAATCGTTGAAAAAAAAAAAAGGAATTAGATGACTAATCCTATTTTGCAACTCAGACACTTACCTAAACAGATCATAATCTCAGACTTCTAATGTGTGTAATATTTGTCCTAATAATTTTCCGTAAAAAGCGAGAGAAATCTCAAAAACGAGCGAATAATTCACATTTCTAGCTATTACGATATTTTGAAGGAAACATCTTCTCTGATTAAATGATAACGGCGGAACCGAGGTATGGTAATCTCATTAACTACAGATATTGGAGACAAGAGCTGCATAACAAATTAACAGTTCAAACCCTGGTATTAGCCCTTGGAGACATTTCCATGGCAGTTGCTGAGTTAGAATTGACAGTTCATTGCTCCCAAACCCTTCAACTCCCAACAGTTGTATAGAAATTCTCCCCTTTTAGCAGGCTCCCATAAATTCCTTTTGAATTAGTTAAGAGTATTCGGGTTCATAACAAGATCAGTTGTGTGTTACTTCTCATCATCTAAGTGTTTGCCGAGCTTTGTCGGATAATACAGTAATGCTTGTATGGAAATTTTTTTTGTGAATCAGTTCCTGAAACTAAAGGGTTCACTGCATTCGACTGAAGAAAGTAACAATTGATAAAACTAAGAAAATCCATAAACTTCTGAACATTGCTCAGTTGACCCTTTGTAACACCCAGCACAATCAAGTGTGTAGATTTTTAAACATATGGAGTAACATTATGGTTTGACCGGCGAACTAGGCGAAAACTAGCTTCAGCACTGAAAGATGATGATAAAAAGCCAATTTTGGTGTTGGTGTTTTGATATCTAAGGTGATCTTGGAGTTACCGTCAACTTTCACTCGGGAGGTCTGATTGAAGTCTGAATTCTTTTGCTTTTATGATGGTCACAAGTTTTATTTAAGAAGAAGGTACAAGTTTCGAATAGTTTTTCACCGTAAACGTTTGTCGTTTTAACTGCTTCAATTTCACTTTATTGATGCTTCAGAAACAGTTATTTGTTTGGGTGTCTTGATAGGTATGTTACCGCAACACCACAACCCAGGAGCGGAGAGTGATATTCTTCAATAACAAGTTAACAGTGAACCTTTTTGTTTCGATAGACAGCCATTAACAAATTGACCTGTGATATCACTTGGTCGCAATGCTATACGGAATTTATTTAACCTTATCAAGATTGATTTAGTTAGGAATGTCAACAAAAGGCGAAAGAATTAATAAGGATTATAAGAATTAGAAAAATATCCCAATATTTCGGTGACTATCCAAACCACATAAAAATGCAGTTCCTCCTGTCATAAACAACCGATGAATTTTACATTGTAGGGTTGGTTAATAAAGTAATAAACACCAGATTTCAGGAAAAAGCTATCGCGGAAACCAGGCAATTTCCCTCTCACGTAGGAAAAACTTCTGTCATCGAGAAAAACAGACATCAGTAACTGCTTGAGGTTAATCTGCACAATCAAATATTTGGAAACATTATCTGCAGCTTTAACAAAATTTTTGGTTCGTAAAATAAGCTCGTCGTGAGATCGTCTTAGTGAGGAGAAAAATGCATCCATCTTCATCTAGGACAGAATTTTTGGATGAGTTTTTAAGAAGACCGTATCTGGGTCGATCAATGTCTGTATCTCTAGCGCTGTGCAGATATTTCACCGTATTAATTGGGGGCGCTTGAGATAATTTTCCTTTTTTCTTATTTTTAGTGTGAAACAGCTGTATTTAAGCATTATATAATAAAGGAAAACTGATTTTGGATTTCGGAAAACGGGTTTGGCACTGAATTAATGAAGGTATTAGACACTTTTGGAAAACTTTTCGTAGGTGATAGGCATGCATGTGATGAAGGTCTTCGTATAAGTTCTGCCTCCTTTGTTTATGAAAACCACAAGACAACTTCTCAGCAGATTTTGTGCAGTTAGACCTTAGAAGGCCAGGCTACAAAGGTAACAGAGATTGGCATGCACAGCATTACCTTTATCCCCATCAGGATACCTGCTTTTATTTATAGCCATGTATGGTCTATTTTAAAAATATAGCCTGTTTCAGCACATTCTCAATCATAAGCTGTAGCTTGGTTATAAGAAAACTGGCTCACAAAAGTTTTGAATCCAACAATCCTTTGGAGAAAATCCAAAGAAATTCAATAGTAATAAATAACAAGACGTTCAAAAATTGATGAAGCACACGGCAATGGTTAGAGTGGAAAAGAAACGGCCCTCCTTTTATATACAAATGACTCAAAACACCCTATGAGCAGACTTCAGTCTCGATATTACCTTTACCCCTAATTAACTCCCAATATCTGATCGTTAATTCTTCCCTCTAGCTGCTAGATATTTCCTTGTGAATTAGTTACAAGATTTTGGTGTTAGAACATCATTAAGTCTTCTACCTGATATAAGCTTGAGTATTCTCATCACCTATTTGCTGGATAATGTATGGATATTATAGGGAGAAGTTACATGTTAATCACTCATTTCTGGGTGCTTGAGGGTTTAAGAGGCCCAAAATCTGTAAAAGTTTACTTGCAAAATGCGAAAAGGAGATGTTCCGAGAGATAAAGCTCGGGTGAACATGATCCCCCTTTAAAAAAAAATTGAGATTGGAGAAAGGAATAAGTTATAAAAAAAAAAAACCAAAACTGAGTCAAAAAAGGTAGAACTGAAAGCCAGGCGAAAGACAGGCGCAAAGAACAGTGTTATAAACTCTTTGATTCACTCGTATTGCGCATTGTCTACTACCACCCAGCAACATAATACTGATGATTTTGGAAACCAGAAAAATATATTTTGCTAAAAATGCGCATTAATCGTTAGACGAACACATTTATTCTATCCACGTTCAACTGGTAGAACTTTTACACGTAGTAAATTTAGTATTTTTTTTAATCATCCTATATTGCTTGAAATTATCATTTTATAAATATGTAGATAACCTTAACTTTAAGTTAATTTTTACACAATTCAATTTAGAAATTTAGAAATTTTAATAAACTATCTACCTCTCCATCTAAGCGGTGTTAGTACTAAGCATGCAGACATTATATGGCTTCAATCAATCGTCAAAGCTGTTAGGAATTCAACGGTAAATATCCAGAGACTGGAAACGGCGTAGATGGACACGAAAAGGTGAAAAAAGACGCATTAACTCGGTGATTGCGATGACACAAAGCATTAACACTGTTTTTCTGTGAAGAGGTTTCAGGGTCACCAAAATTCGTCGCGTTCTTTAGAAAATAAATGTGTTCTATTCATCTATTCTATTCGCACCAAAAATGAACAGAAACGTCTCCTTAAGAGGTTTTAAGCGCACCAATCCACTCCACTGAGCTGATGAACTAAAAGAATCGATGGAAGCAATGAAAGGATGTTTAAGAGCATACGCTCAAAACACTGAAATAATCACTTCTTAACAATTGGTTCATGCTTTAGCGTGCACTATGGAGTTATGGAGCACGCGGGAAGTTTCGAGAGCACGAAAGAAGCGTAAGAGTTGCCCGAGGCGATAGCCTCGGGCAACTCTAGCTTCTTGAGTGCTCTCCAAACTTCCCATGTGCTCCATAACTCGATAGTGCACAGCTGAAAGCATGAACCAATTGTTTTAGAACATAGC